ATATTATTCACAATCTACTTTGCCACTGCTGTGTGCATAATTAGGTATCCCCACTGTGTCGAGACACATAAAACATGAGAAAATAATATTTCTTTGATTTCTTTCATTTAGGTCAGCAATCATATCTGTGAACCAATAAAATTTGCAGCTGTGGTGGCAAGCACAGCACTCCATCCATAAATAGATATGCCTGAAAAGCAAGAACTCATAAATTGAAGACAAACTAAGGCAGTTTGCCACTGTTATTTCACTGCTACAGCCACCAGAGCATGTCAAATGCTGTGCTTTTGCTGAACGAGCAAAGCTGGGTCTTTACACACTCCAAGTATTTAGAGGACATTTGAAAAGAACAGAAGATTCATTGATTTACTATTATTTTTGATAGAAAATGGAAAATCTTAAGTGTGCCATTACCTTGATAGGCTAAAGATGTGCCAAAAGAAGTCAAGAAGCAGGTTGCAAGGTTAATAGGGCACAAAGTCCTGCTGTTAGAGTGATGTTACCAAGGACGAATGACCCTGAGGTTCACTGATGCTTAGATGGAGTGGCATATGCAGTAGTCACATCCACATGAATGCCAGTATCTGAACTGTCAGAGCAGAACATTGCTTGATCTCTTCTAATAGAGGTTTTCTCATCTACATTTTTTTCTTAGTTTCTTGTGACTGAAATGTGACATATAGTCTAATTAACCATCCATCAGTCAGAAGCCGTTTTCCATTTTTCTATAATAATACTATGTCTCACACATGACTTATGAATGACAGTGATTTCATATAATGGTCACTTAAAAAGTAAAGGTTCGTCATTAAAAGGTTACCATTTCCATCCATATCAACTGACTCACAGTCAACTGAAGGAGCTGTTACTCCCATTTGCAGCTCTACTGTGTCTGACAGAGATGTTATTGTAACAAACAGCAGCTCTTTTGGAGTTATAGCTAAAAACATGTTAAAAAACAACAACAACAACAACAACAACAACAACAACAACAACAAAAACTGGATGGCACAGGCCTTTAAACAAGGGTTTATGAATGATCTGCATGGTTTCTTCAGCTAAAACATACAATACACATACTGGGAACATGTGCGCCCTACATTTATTTGTTAGAAAGGGGTGTCGGACCCTTTTAAACTTTACCATTAATGGTCCCGGTGTTGATCTCTTGCTCGTTAGAAGCATCATCAGTTTCCTCAGGAGCAGCAGGAGGCTCGGCACTATATTCTCGATCAGACCGAGACTCCTGTGGTGTGGCGGGAGAAAGCTCAGGTTCCCAATTGGGTGTGAGTGTTAAACGAGGGATCAGAGTGATTTTTATCTCTGAATGAGGTGCATTCGTGCCAGCATCACCATTAACTCCTTCTGAATTGGTGTCCCCTGAGTTTTCTGGGTTTTCTCCTGACGATTTACCTGGTCCTTCTGTGACATCTTTTTCGGTCTCCTCTGGTGCAATATTTGTGATATTTTGGGATGTACGGAGGATAATCACTGAGCTGTCTCCTAATCCCTCCATTTCGGGTTTATCCTGAATGTCGTCCAATGGCTCAGCCCCAGATGAAACGTTGCTTTCTGGTATGTAGGTTATTATCTCTGAACTGGCTTCAACTTCAACAGGAGGAGGAGATAAGGTTGCAGAGATTGGGGATCCCAACAATAAGACAGGTTGGTTTTTTAGAACAGGAGCGTCGATGCTGGAGCCTGTGTCGTCTGAGAAAGTGATGACCTCTGCTGTTGAGATTATAGTTGGAGGGTTGTGTCCACTCTGCTCTGTCAGATCATCTGTTGTCACGTCTCCTGAAGTGCTACTCAATTCCTCAGCGCTATGCTCAATTGGGATGGAGGACTCCGTTACATCTGAGTGGGCTTGAGTAGGATCGTAACCTGCAAACAAAAAAAAAATATCTCTACACCTCTGAAGCAATTTAGACTGATAATGGGGAAACACAATGCATGGTGTAATGCTAAAAACTAGTAAAGTAGCAAAGCAAAGTAGCATTTTGGGTATTGGAAATATAAAAACCATTTACAGGCCTAGACAGAAAATTGTGTTTAAGATATACCTAATGTCACTGTGGGTCATTTGGGCAACTTTTTGTTGGATACAGATGTGGACAGGCAGGTGGGCTGACAGTACAATTTAATGGTGCTCAGAAATAATGTATGCAGAACAACACACACACAATCTCTACCAGTAGATGAAGTATACAAATTACAACCTTTAGAATGGTAAATGGCTTGTATTTGTATAGCGCTTTTACTAGTCCTGCCTAGGGACCCCAAAGCACTTTACACACCCAGTCATCCACCCATTCACACACTGGTGGAGGCAAGCTACAGTTGTAGCCACAGCTGCCCTGGGGCAGACTGACAGAAGCGAGGCTTCATATCGCGCCATCGGCCCTTCTGGCCAACACCAGTAGGCGGTAGGTGAAGTGTCTTGCCCAAGGACACAACGACTGAGACTGTCCGAGCCGGGGCTCGAACCGGCAACCTTCCGATTACAAGGCGAACTCCCAACTCTTGAGCCACGGTCGCCCATTCTAGAAACCTAGAACTCTAGAAACTCTAGAAAGAGTAACTCTTAATGAAAATAGACTGCCATTTACTCTGAATGACTAATCAAACAACTTTAAACTACAGCTCTTATTTAACCATGTACTATTTTTTCTATATTTTACATATTTAACCACATCTAATCCATGGCTAGTTTTAGAATCACTAGTTAACACTTTTGGGAAGAAACCCCCAGACACAGATGGAGAATGACCGCAGCCAGGGTTCAAACCTTCCTGCTGTGAAGGCACAGCGCTAATCACGGCACTACGACCCGTCTTATGGGCTAAATTTCACATTTAAATCTCACTTACTTGTATCAAGGTTTGACTTAGTGACCACTTTGGTTATGGCAGTGGTGTCCAAATCGACTGTCACAGAATGCTCCTGTTCTTCGTCTGGAGAATCATCAGATGTACTTTTATCAAAAGCAAAAGCTGGCATCGGTGAAGTGGCAAGAACATCTGTTACCTCAGTGTGGAGTGAAGTCATTGCCACTGATATCTCCTCAATAGTACCAGTGCTGGCTTCTTCTGGCTGTTCTGAAGCATCATAAGAGGTGCTCACATAGACAAGCTCAGTCACTGAGGCATTTTCCTCAGGGACATATGGAGTGTGGTCCGTTTGCAAAACAGGTAAATCCCACTCTTGATGTACCTCATCAGCTCCAGATGTGGCATTACTAACTGGCACATCTGGATTTTCAGTCATAGAAATATGATGCTCTGTGGGTTCTCCACTTTCTGGATCTGCCACATCAGTTATGGGTATAATGGAGTAATAACCAACTGTAACTACATTATCTGTGTTTGGAGAAGGGGATGAAATTATATACGACTCCTCGTGATCTGTGTCTGGATCCTCTTCGGGTGCTGGCTGATAGGACTCAGGGTAGTTGGCTTTCTTTACCAGTTCCCAAGTGTCAAGGGTGGACATGTGCTCTTGGTGATCAGACAGAGGAGTTGCAGTCTGAGGAATGTCTGCTGTCAATTGTGATATTGTCACTGTGTGAGCATCGACAGTACCCTGCTTTATTGGATTTGTAGTCTGGGCAACTCCATCTGTCGTGGCTTCACTTTTGCTGACATCCTCCCGTGAGGACGTAGTTACAAAAACAATATCTTGGCCAATATCCTCTGGCTCAGTGGCTAAATCCTGGGGAGAATCTGTGTAGGGGCCATTATCACCTGGAAAAAGAAACATAATTTGAAAAAAAAAAATAAACTGAATTCACAATATCCTTATGTTTACTGGGATCTTCATGGCAATAAATGTAAAAATACCAAGTTGAATTTTATCTAATAAAGCTATATTTCTTTTCTGTCCTTTTATCCATGAAACTACCTAAAAAAGCACCGGCACTGAGGGGACAGAGCATAAACTCAAATAGAAATTACACGACTTGCTCTCTTACTTCTGAAGCAGTAGACATCATGTCGAGAGTGGGTCTCAGGAAAGCCCGTCTGGTTGCTGTATCTGTAAACGGTTCGGACCCCAGGTTCACCACCTCCACAGCGCTCTCTAGGGGTGACAATGGGGTATCGCACACTCCCGTCTGCCAGCCACCCTGGGCTGCAGTGATTTAGTCCGTCATTCCAAGCTGCATAAAGCTGAGCAGTGGTGGACAACTCTGCACCATGACTGAGACAGTAGGCCTTTGCCTCACCAAAGGTGAAACGCTGGGGGGTGGAGCCATGGAACACCTCACCTTTCAAAACAGAGAAACAATAATGTTGACACGTTACTTTTGCTACATTTTTACTAGTGATGTGCGATACCACTGATTTCCTTTCCGATCCGATACCAAGTAAAATTCAGGGTGGTATCGACGATACTGATCCGATACCGATACTCTGTACAAAAACGTAATGTTTCATTGTATTTCATAATACAATATATAATTGTATTATGTAATTGTAATAATAATATAATAATATAGCTTCATAATGATTACAGGACATCAGACTACTTGTTCTTATTGCTTAATAATGCAGAATTATCATATAGAAATTCAGTTCCCTTCAACATAAGCTCATCATATTCTGTGATATGATTTACTCTGAGGTGTTTGACGAGGTCAGTGGTGTTGCCACAAAACCTCACTGTCTTGCCACATATATCGCAAACCATGTCTTGGCTGTTTGTGGCGGTAAAATACGTCCACACATGACTCCGTTTACGCTCAGCTATTGTTGTGAGTGCGCACGCCAGGGGCTGTAACACATTTATACAGCCGTATTTTACATATGACTACGAAAGGTGTAAGAGGAAGTAGTTCCTTCCAATTTAGACGATCTGAATGATATAGTTTCTTTTCACTGTGTTCCTGTTGATGAAAAACTACAAATGTACCCCAAAGTACTAAAATATCAATATTTTAATATGAGAATCGATTCTAGAACATAAATTGTTGGTATTGGAAGAAGATCCGCACACCACTAATTTTGACATACCATGTCTAATAAAGCGGGCAATTGCCATAAAGGTATTTTTGATCATTAAGGGTTTCAAGGCATGCTTTCAGTCCAACTAGGCGGCGATATGCTTGCTCAGATTTTCCAACAGTGGTGACAAAATAAACAAATTCACTATAAACCACTAATTTTAATGTTGATGTGTCATGTTGAATTGTCTGCGCATAAATGCAAAATGTGTAAGAAAAATGTCTTTCTTCTGGTTTTCATTCTTCCACATATATGATCAACTTTGGCCACATCAAAAGGGTTTTGCAGTAGATTCTGAATGAATCTTATATAAAGTAATAGATGAATGTAGTGTTTACTACAGTTTGGGTATCTTAGAATGAAACTGAGCTTATTTTTCGGTAAAAACCCGGTAATTACTAAACACTGCAGGCAGCCAAGTATCTGTGTGTGAATACGTTTTTTTTCTTCATTTTTTGTAACTTTTAAGTTTAATGTTAATTATTATTGTATCTAATTTACCAAAGTTTTGAGAACCCCAGAGATCCTCTAAAAATAAATTGTTACTAATCATAGAAATCGCTTTTATGTTAAGAGGAAAGAAACAAGCAGGTTTTACACATTTAACACATCACAGAACCATATCATATTACTGAATCTGCAGTTATTAAAACTGGTGACAAAAAGAGTACAAAAATAAGACACAGGTTTTATCATAAAATACATTTAACATTAAAAACTTGTGAAATGCATTTTACAAGTTTTTAATAGTTGTATTACCATGAATATTCTCCACATAGCAGTACACGTCATACAGCTCATCGGGCTCTAATAGTCCATAGTTCCTCACTCCTGGCAAGCCATCCATGTCTCCAAAACAGCCCTCTCTTGGCATCTGAATGGGGTATCTGTGGATGGAAATGCCAAACATCACTGAAGCACCTCTTCTTCTCTAATGGCAGCACTCTAAACATGGCACTTGTGTAAGTACATTTGTGAGTAGGTCTTGAAGAGCTGAAATGTCTGGTTTGAGATCAGATGAGTGACTCTCAGGTACTTGACGATCTCTGTGTTATAATGTGGAGAGCATATCAAATATTAGCTGTCTGAGTGGAGCACTATCATCCCCCCGAATGACTGACCTCTACACTAAATGCTCTTTTTTCTACCTGATGTTTGTTTGGAGCTGAAGAAAGGATTTGGATTGACTGCAAATGTACGCTGAAAACAACCGTGAATTAATTCACATAAAATGCTTAAAAGGCCAAACATTGCCAAGTAATGTGCCCTGTCCTCTCAGGTTCTCACCTCACAGAGTGGTCTGAGAGCCAGCCTGCATCACACTGCTCATATCCGCTGTTATAAGCAGCAAATAGCTGCTCTGGGGTAGCGATGTCAGCCCCGATGTCCTCACAAGCCTCTTTAGCCTGCTCAAAGGTAAAAGCGTAGCGGCTGGATGCATCACGGTAGTGAAACACCACTCCTGCAAAAAAAAGAAAAGCTTTGTGAAATCTGTGCAGATCTTGTAAAACATGTAGTACTAAAAAAGCACTCACATAAACAGATATTGCAAAGAAAAGTACATTATTGCAGAGCACATTATCAACATGATAAAATCAAATCATAAAATTATAAAAAAAAATAACTTAACTAACTGTGATAGAATGCACTTTGCAGTTTAATCTTTTGACTTAGCTTTAAGATTCCTGTAATGGTTTCATTACTCCATCAGTGGATGTAAGTATTTTTAAGCTTAATTGGCTTCAGCTGAGCATATCCTGCTTGGCTACCTGCTGAGAATGTCACCACTTAAACAAAAGATGGGCTGCATGTTGTATTCACCGTCATTGGGATTCGTCTTGTATATTAGAAGGGGACATGAAACGCTACACATATAAAGGCTAAGGCTGCTCAATTCCGATTTTTGATCAAATCCGATTTTTTTGTCTGCTTGTTCACACTACAAATAAAATGCCCGCATGCGCAAAAGAAGACGTCACACACAACGCGCTCTGTTTAGACCCAGAGCAAACAGTATTGTTTGACTGATGGCCCTTAATATAAAGACTTCGGACTTTACGTTTCCCAAT